TTTGCAGCTATGCAGTGCAGAAAACGCATATTGACGAGAGGTTGTCTGTGTGTGTGTCTGTGTATGTGTGTTTGTGTGTGTGTGTCTGTGTGTGCGCTGGGCTTCTGTACCGATTTTTCATCTCAAGACCTACAAAAGCTACAGGGCTGAAAGTCTGGGAACTTAATCTTCGTGCAAGTACGGACCCCAGTCCCCAAAATGGGCGCTCTTACCCGCGAGGTACCTGCGTGCGGGCTCGCCAAAATCTTTTTCGGGTAAGTCGCTAACTGGCGAACTAGGAAAGCTAGAAAGTTGAAATTTTAAGGGGATGTTACCCGCCCACGTAAGCCTCCTACCTGTTCAAAGCCTGCCCTTGGGTACGCGTGGTACCCACGTATGGGCCCGCCAAAATTTTTTCGGGTGAGTCTCTAACTCGAGAATTTGAAAAGCTAGAAGACTGTAATTTTGAGGGGATATTCCCCGACCGTCTAAGTCTCATTGAGCCCAAACCCAGCCTTGGGTTTTAGAGTACCCACGTGTGAGCCTACCAAAATTTTTTCTGAGTAAGTTGCTAACTCGGGAGCCAAAGAAGCTAGAAGAGATGTTTCCTGGCAGTCCTGGCGGCCAGTCTGAAATTCTTTTAGCTAAAAGCATCTGCCAGAAAAGCCAGTGCAGTTAACAACAAAAATCTGCGGGGAGCTATGCAAAAAGCGCATCTTCATACGGTCAGCCCGTGCGTGACCAATTATTTTTGCCTGTAATAAATGTTGCTCTACTTCCAAACTCCCATCAAAATAACTGATATGTTATGCACTCATTCTGGTCAAACAGCACCAAAATAACAATTAAATTTTAAATTAAAATTGGACGAGTGAGAGGAAAATGTTAGAATAAAGGAGAGCTATCATAAATATAATGTTAGAAAGTTTGTAGAATAGAAAGATCTCGATCTATAGTCATAAGGTAACCTATAAGAACCTTATAACTTACCACAAAGTCATTTATAAGAACTTACCGAAGCGCACAACGTTTTGCAAAGCCCGAGCAATAAATTTTTAATAGCTGCAGGAAAGGCGCTGAATTTTCCTGGGAATAAAAAAGTAATGACGGAAATTGTGATCAAAGTAATGGCCTGTCCGAAAGGCTGGCTGCCTGCTTATGTGCACTGGGCCATACTTATATTCACATATACTGGGCCCTGAAAGATTTGTAACAAAAATCGTTGTAGGGTTGGCAGAAATGCTCTTTCCTTCTGACATGTACGCTGGTAAGATGGAGCAAAATAGTAGTGAAGGGGAAAGAAGAATATTCACATACTTTTTTCTCATTTTGCCATTGCTGACAACCAGTCTTAAAAAAGCTAGCCACAATCCTTAATACCAGTATTGTAATTAAGCTGAAATTTCTACCAAAAAAGGATCAGTGGGAAATTTTTACTGGTTCGAAAATGAATGTGCTTGCAGCAGTTTTCATTTAAAGAGCACACTGAAGAACTGCAAATCCAGTAGCGGTTGACATTTTCCCAAATTCCGAGCTCCTGTTTACGAATTT